ACCTCGGGCCGATATTCTCCCAGTACGGCCCTCGCGCTTGGTTAATAAGATACATATACTGCGCTCTGTCATCAGTCTAGAAAACTCGTGCTACCCTATTAACCAATCAGATGTCTTCTTCTCTAGTTTGTTGTTGTGAATACTTTGACTTTGGTTCACCAGACTAAAAGGCGCTGTTACTAAGACCTGTATTAGAGCCATGGTGTAGCGTTAGGGGTGTTGCATTAGGATATATAAGACAGGTGCTCCCGTTTATTGGCGGTGTTTATTAAAGCTGCGTGTTAGATGTAACCTTTGGTTTTCTACAAATATAGCTAAATAAGTTGAATTTACCAACTACAGTTAAATATAGAGCGGATTTCTAAATCTCAAAGACTGAGAATCGTGTGGAGTTTTTTTTCCATCAAGTAAATGTGTTTGTACACCTAACTGCAGTAACGTTGTTATAGAAAATAGAAAAACGGGAAAAACCAAATTCGTAGCGTAGAGCATAAACATACGGGATTCAGCATATAGTTTTTGTTTTTAATTTTTGGAATCGTTGAAATTTCTAAACATCTGATACTCTCAAGAAAGTTGAAAGAACTTTTCAGGGAGAAATTCTTTTAAATTTCTCGTCTGCTGGGTATATAGCCTGACAGTAGTTTCATGTGCTAATAAATTACCAATTGCCTTTTCCATTTTTGTTTTTCCTTTTTTATGATAGTGGCTCTGCAGTTAAGTGTATATGTTGGTTCTTCAAGTTATTCTTAGATCATCTCATTTTGTTCATGGTCAGGACTACAAGGAACGTGATGCTTACATCTTGACTCAAGCTCCACTAGACAACACTATAGGAGATTTCTGGCGGATGGTATCACAGTACAATATTGGTACAGTTGTGATGTTAAATAACTTGAAAGAAGGAAAACAGGTATCACATTCCTCACTAATGGTAGAACAAGATCTTTTAAAGCTCAGTTCAGTTGTAACCTCAAACGGAACATGCTGCATTTTCATGGGTAATCCATAGACGAGTTTTAAATGTATTTGGACTCGTGCCCTGGAATGAAAATGAAAGTAACGAAAATTGTGACAAGAAAGGATGCAGATGAACAAAAACACGGGAAATTGATTCTTTTTTCTTGGGAAATTAGATTACAAACTATTTCACAAGTGTTCGTTGGTAAATAAACCATCTGACAGTTGTTGCATTTCGTTTGTTTTTATCTGTTGTAGAATTACCCACAATATTGGCCGAGTCAAGGATCTGCTAGGCATGACGACATCACTGTACAGCTTTTGTCGGAAAACACCTCAAACAACATGACCACGCGACGATTTAGCGTGATAAATACCAAGGTACGCTTCTTCTAGGAACGCTATACAGCTTTGATGATGTTAAGATTCGGCGTTTGAAGAGAGCATCTCATTGACTTTATCCCTTGCTGATTTAAGTTGAAGTTGAGACATTGGTCTTGACATGATAATGCTGATTTAAGTTGAAGTTAAGACTGTGGTCTCGACATGATAATGCCTTTGGTATTGCTGATGCTAATAACGATGATGACGATGATAGTGGTGAAAATGTACAGAAATAGTGACACAACAAAGGTGATCAATCGAGATTAAGCTATGTTGGCGTGTTTCTTCCTTGCTTAAAGTAGATCAAGTTACCGAATTTATAATAACGTTTTCTTAATGATTATGACGTTGATAAAGAGAAAGGTAATAATATACAGCTGTTTGAGAAAGGTCGCAAAAAGGACAAAAGTTCATGCGACAATCTCGTTAGGAAATCTTGGTATCCGGTAATCAATGAACTTTGATAATTCAAATGATGAATAAATGTATATTAACCTGCAATGTCTTGTCCTTACATTGTCGTTTTGTGAGATTTCCCTGAGGTCAAGGATTTTTTACCTGACCACAACACCTTTCAGGGTTGTCCCGTGCACTTTTACCCTTTTCATTTTCCGACAACCCTTCCCGAAACAGCTGTATACAATATAGAGTGATAACTTAAAATTGAGCTGGACTTGAAATAGGGTTGTTTCTAGTCACAGCGTAAAGTGCTGTTCATCTTTCTTTCCTCAGCCTTCCAAGAGGACAACAACTGTACAACACATACACTTTACAGAATGGGTCAACGAAGACTCGTGCCCAGATCCTCAGAAGATACTCGATCTCATGACAGCTGTACAGCAGTCTCAGCAACAATCAGGAAATGGCACCATAGTTTTTCAGTGCAGGCAAGAGAAAGATTTTAGTTTGAGTGGTGGGATCATGTTTACTGTCGGGACTCTCGACCGAATCGATATATCGGTCGTCATATCGGTCGAGACTCGGTCGAGACTCGGTCGAGACTCGGTCGA